ATGATTTCTTTTTTTTTCTTGAATGTATAAATTTATGTTTATCTACATTTCTTACATATATATTGAATATCACAATTGAAATTTCTTCAATCGAACATCACAATGTATAATATATTGAATATCACAACTTTTTTTTTTTGTTATCTGTAGATTTATGGAAATTTCGTGAAGATATTTGGGGAAATATAAATTAATAACAAATTTGAAAATGTAATTTTCTCTCTGCCTATAAAGACTAAATATGTTTAAGATCTATGAATATATCTATCATATCCATATAGAAATTGAAATTTCTTCTTTAATAATTATTATTTATTTTTATATTTATAGAATTAAAAAATAAATAAATAATTATATTTTATCATTTGATCACAATGATTGAATATATTATAATTCTATGGATGATCTATCATATCCACAAAGCAATTGAAATTTCTTCTTTAATAACTATTTTTTTGATATATTATATAATGTTTATTTATTTCTTATATTTTTTAAAAATAAATATTAAATAATTATTAATTATATTTTCACTTAGAATTTGTGCCAATGCATATTTTATGGTTGGATAGGAGAGTTGGGTTTTTTTCCATCCCATAAAACATTAAAACTTAAGAATTATAATTTATAAATTATAGTTAAGCATAGGATTTTTAATGAAATTATAATTAACTACAATATATTTCTTCAGAAAACCATTAAAATATATTAATTTAATGTATATATACCTCATTTAGGTCTTATATTTAGTGTTGTTGATGTATATTTATGATTTATTAAAGTATTTATAGTGTTTCCAAGCGTATCTATGCTTATCTTAGTTTTTCTCCGATACGCATGCGTATCCAAGGGGTATCTTGATATGTCTCTTAAACTTGCCTTTCCGATACACTTGGCGTTTCCGATACTTTGAACATTTCTTGAGATATCTCATAAGACACCCGCCGAAACCCTAGTAGTGTTCCCTGACAACTGACACCGAATCTAAGATTCCTTTTCCTAATGGGAATCAAACACTTTTGGCTTCTTCTTTTTGGGACCTCAGGATCCCTCCCTATAAATGGGGGCCCAACTCATAACAAGATAATCATTGTATCACCTTATTTTCCCTAGCCTTTAACATACCTCCTACACTCGACTTTCCTTTGTCCTTCAAGGAGACCCCCGTACGTAGCCTTACCTCCCTACTCAACCCTGTCCCCACCCTGTCTCTTCCCCATTCCTATTTAAAATTCAAGAAAACTTGCCCTATTTGGGGTGGGGCAGGGTAGGGCCCTAGTTTTATAGGGAAAATTACCATCCCTACAATTCTAATAATTTTCTATAACTAATTAACTAATAGTAAATTAAAGAACAATAAATTGCAATGTTTTATGATAATTTCCAAAAATTATTGAAATTGTTGTTGATTAGCAAAAATGTATAGTAAATTAGTTATTTACAATAACAATAAATTAATTTGAATTAATGTAAATTATTTACTTTTTAAGACTAAATTATTGACAATTAATCAAAGTGATGTAATTATAGTAAATTAATGTAATTATGGTAAATTACATTAAGTTTAATTAAAAGTAAATCATTTGTTGTTAATTAATGTAAAACCAAGTATGGTTGAAGTCAACCAAGTGGTCTATACTGGTGTGGATAAAATTAATAATTTTCCTAAATTATTTCTTAATTATTTATTAAAATAATAATGGATTGTTATTTAAATAAATATGAAACAATTTCTAATAGATTAGTTTCCTAATTTAATTTTCCTAAAATAATAATTATTTAGTTGAATAATAATAATAATAATAATAGTTTTGGAGAATATTTTTTTGTAGATTAATGTAATAAATTTTTAATTATTATTTACTTAAAAAATTATGAATTAACGATTTTACAGAAATTAGTAAATTATGCCAATTAGTAATATCTTTTATGAATAAATAATTGTTGTAAAAAAATAATGAAAATTTATTGTTACAATGATTAATGTAAATTACCTTAAACATTAAAAATTTAAACATTTATTGATTAACCAATGGTTAGTTTTCTCTAATGGTTGGCCAGTTTCGAGTGACCAACTCCCTAACCTGACCAGATCAATTTGGATATCCAAACAATCTCCAATTGAATTGAATTGCCTAGTGAATACTCTTAATTTCAACTAAATTAATATCATAATCTCTAACAAATAACAATAGTTTAATCTTCAATAATTATTGAAAATTTATAGCGAAAATACATAATTGCTGAAAATATATTTATAACAAAAATATACTAAATAACTAATAAAAATCTTTAATACCTCTTAGTTGTTTAATTTACTTCCACTATTTCAATAATATTTATTTTTTTATTTATTTATATTTTATATTCTTATTAAAGTTACTAAAAAATTGTGTTATCTAATCTATTTTTTTGTTTTTTAAATAAAATAATGTTTAAAATATGATTTAGTATTCAATTTTTTATAATGAAAACATTTAAACTTTATTTTAAAATATTATATAAAACATAAATAATTATTAAAAAAAATAGTATATGAAACATAAATAATATCTTGCCTCACCCAGAATGGGGCAATTTTTCTTGAATCTTAAATTAGGATGGGAAAAATACTTTTACACCAAATCAGGGATGGGGAAGGGACGAGGTTTGCATATAATTCCCTAAATGCGAGGTAAATTAGTAAAATATCAGTAGATTTAATATTGACTTTTAAAATATATCTCTAAGTTTTCTTCATATTTTTATAATCCTAGGATCCCACAATTCCTTTTATGAAATACCCCCAAATTGTCATAATCCAAATCCTAAATTACCCCAAATTCCCATAGTCCTATTTGTAAAAATCAACAAATTAGATTATTTTTAAGTGGTTGCCTTGGGGTGGGGAAAATTTGGGGATTCCCCATCCCTGACGGGGAATGGGTGCCTCACCTCCAACCCACCCCACCACCAAGGACGAGGCGAGGATGGGGAAGTGTGTCTTGACTACGGGGGCGAGGGACAGGGAGGGGTGCCACATCTCATGCATCACATGGGGCCTTGCTAATTATAATTACTTTTGTTCTTTTGATAATTTTTTTAAAAGTTATAAAATGATTTTGTTATTTAATCTTTTTTTAAAATAATATATAAGATATGATTTAGTTATTAATATTTTGATATTTAAAGTATTTAAAAATTAGTTATTTATAATATTATTTAATTAATTAAGTAATACCATTATTTAAAATTTTAAAATAGTAATTATTTACTAAATTTAATATTCCATGAAATTATAATTTATACTATTATTACATAATTTGGTTATTAATTTTGTAAAATATAAAATTATTATTATTTTAAAAATTATGAAATCTATTATAATTATTATTCTACTCTTAAAAAATTTAAAATTTATTACATAATTTTGTTATTTTAACTATTTAAAATTTAGTTATGTTAAGTATTTCATTGATTAAATATTTAAATAATATATAAAATATTTAATCATTTTTTTATTTAAATTTTATTTATTTAAAGTTATTATGCAATTTTAAATATTTTTTTATATAATTATTTAGCTACTTTTAATAATTTTTTATTTAAATAATTATTTATTTATGCTTATAAAATATTATTTAGTTATTAAATTCAATAATCCATAAAATTATAATTTTTATTTTTATTATAATTATATTTTTTGTTTTTAATAAATATTTTAATGTTATATTATAATTTCATTATAATATTTAAATAATTGTTAAATGTTCTAATTGAAACTTTCTTTAAATAAATATAGATGAAAAGTGGGAGAGAAGATAAATAGAAATTAGAGATAATTTAGGAGATAAATTGGAATTAGGGAGTGATAGAGATAATTTAAGAAAAAGTGGGGGATAGTTAGTTTTGTAATAAAAAGGAGAGGAAAAAAGGAGATAAGCCATGTTAGGTGGTAACTCCTAGTACCTTTACAGGGAATCTTGCACCCACTCTAGAATTGCTCGGATTGGGTAATAAAGCAAGGAGAGGACTGGTGACATGGCAAACTCTACTTTAGTATGTGTATATATATTAACTTATTCACCCCTAGCTTAGGGTTATCTTACCTACTTTAGCCCCTAACTTCTTGTTGACTTTCAAAATCAACCAATGTTGTTTGATGGTTAGGTGTCAATGTGTCATTAAGTCCCATTAAGCACCAAGTTTACCAACTAAGGACCAACCTGAGCAAACCCAACAATACTTAGGCTAGGTTTGGCTCTTGGGTTGTGTTGGGTTAAGCTCGGTGGAGTGGAGGTTTGAAAGAATTTCTTATGGTATTTTTTGTACATCCATCTTTAATAAGTCTTATTAGAGACCAACTTAAAAGTTGAAAAGGATTAAAATATGTATAAATTTCACTAACAAATGCATATATACATATTTTATACATATGTTAAAAATGATATTTTACATAGATAAAATGGATATATGTATGTATTTATTCAGGCGGACTTGGGTTGGAGTGCGCTTGGGTTACTTGAGGTCTCAACCCAATCCTGAATGGAGTTTATCTTGGGTTACCTGATGAAGCTTCTCCCATTTGTGTCAACCGTTGCTTATTCCAAATTTAAAAGGAAATGTTTGTTAGAGATCTAGAAGTTTGCTCATCACCAACAATGGAAGTTCGCTCAATCTTCGCTTGAATGTTGTATTTGTGATGTCATGTTTAAGACATCCACTGGTACCCTCCAGAGATGGAGATAAAAGGTTTTAGGGATGGTATTTTAGGAACAGATGAGGTATTTTTAGGAATGGAGGTGAAAAGGATATTTTAGAATTTTTTTGTCAACTATAACAAGTCACATGATATCACATATAATAAAAATTATCAGAAATATAGGAATAAGATTACATGGCACTAAACAGTAAGGATATAGAATAGGGTTACATAACAGTAAACAGTAGGGATATACATAATCAATTAGATAAATCACAAAGGATAGTTTAAGAAATTTATACAAAATATAATGCTTGAATTGTGATCTAAATATGTTTGAAAATGGACTCCTTCCTCTTCACTTTCATATTCAAGTCAAAAACGATTTGTCACAGTAGTTATTAAAGCCGCCTGTCTCAGAAAATCAAACCTCCCACACTTTCACGGAAATCCCGAACCTTATCTTTCTAATTTCTACATGCTTCCTTACCAAGAAACCCCGTCAATTCACCCAACTCTCTTCTTCGTTTATATTTCTCCGACATTCTAATGACTACAAAAACATCAATTCCTCGGTGACTTCTATCGGAACTCAGCTTTCAGGCGACCGTTTCCGGTGTGGAAGAAGAACAAATGTCTTCATTGAATCTCCAAGAACTGAAGGTGCTTTCCGTCGTCGGAAGGGGGGCAAAAAGCGTGGTCTTTGTTGTTCGAAATGAAGCCGCCTCGTCCAGGGAAATTCTTGCTCTGAAAGTGATTTATAAAACTTCAATCCAGATCGAGAGTACGAATAAGAAAAGAAGCGAAGATAGAGATGGTGGCTATAGGCGTATCATGTTCGAAAGAGAAGCCTTGAAGCAGTTTAACCATCCACTTCTCCCAAAGCTCCGAGGACTTTTTGCCACCAATAAGTTTGATGGGTTCGTCATGGATTACTGTTCAGGTGGAGATCTTAACTCGCTGAGGAAGAGACAAACCGAGAAGATGTTCTCTGAAGAGGTTATCAGGTTCTTTTCACTTCCAATCTAAAAACCGGAAAATAGTATGTTTTTTTATTAAAAATTTCTCTTACAAGCTCTTGGTTTGAATTAATTTCAGGTTCTACGCATCAGAATTGGTTCTAGCATTGGAGTACCTACATGGATTAGGGATCGTTTACAGAGATTTGAAGCCAGAGAACATAGTGATTCAAGAAACCGGTCATTTAATGCTCGTTGATTTCGATCTCTCGACGAGGCTTTCATCGAAATTTCGTAAAAGTCCTCGGATTCCACAACCGACCCCCACGAGATCCGAAACTCTAACAGTGAGAGGCTCGCTGAAGCAGAAGTTTTCTCCGTCGTTTCTCTTCCGTTGCAACTCAGGTATCTCGGGTGACGACTCGGTATCTCCGGTGGAAACTAGAGTCAACCCTGAACCAGAAGAGTCGGTCTCGGTTGATGGGAAGTCGAACTCGTTCGTCGGAACGGAGGAGTATGTCTCTCCTGAGGTCATCTTAGGGAACGGCCACGATTTCGCCGTCGATTGGTGGGGCTTAGGGGTCGTTCTGTACGAGATGCTTTACGGACGGACGCCGTTCCGAGGGTCGAACCGAAAGGAGACTTTCTTTCGGATCCTGACGAAAGAGCCAGAGCTGATCGGAGAGCAGACATCTCTGAGGGACTTGATCAGGAAGTTGTTGGAAAAGGATCCAACAAAGAGGATTTCGCTCGAAAGAATCAAGGGTCACGATTTCTTCAGGGGGCTTGATTGGAAATCAGTGTTGCAAATCTCGAGGCCGCCGTTTATCCCTGCGGTATGGAAAGAGGAGGTTGAGGGTAAGGGAATTGATGTGGAAATGTTTGTTAGCGGGCATTTCTGTGGGGCCAACTTGGAAAAAGAAAATTATTCTGTCAATTTTAATAAGGAAAAGAATGCGAATGGGTACGAGAAGAGTGGGGACACGAGGAAATATGAGGATTTGAAAGATTCTTCTGGAACGACTCAGTTTTCAACTTTTTAATTTTTTAATTATAAATTAGTGAATTATTCGGTATTAAGTATGGAAAGTTAATTATATATATATATGAATAAATACTAATGATTTTTATTATCAATTTTTATTACTGTTTATAAATTATCATTTTTTAAGATATTCATACAGTCTATGGATTCACATAAATTGACCCTTATATGTCAAACCCATAAATTACACGGGTCATTAAATTCAACATGAACTGTTCATTACTGTAATTTAACTATTCTTATTTTTATTATTAATTTATTTTAGTATTTAATTTAATTTTTTTGTTATATAGTAATAATATTGACTAAATTTATAATTATTTAAATATTTACTTACAATAATTTTTTTCCAACCGAGTAAAATTATTATATAATAGATTTGTTAATTCAAATTTTGCATTTAAGAATAAACACTAATGATTTGGCTTAACAGTTTTAATTATGGTTAATAAATATTGATCTTATTTAATGTTTAATTATCGTATTCGGTAATTATTATGGAGCATGCTTTGAATAAACATTAATGATAAATGATTATTGTTATTTCATTTTTTACTATTTACTTAATTAAGTATTTGATGATTATTAATATTATTATTAATTATTTTTATAAATAATTGATTGTTATTATTATTTACTTAATTCAGTAATTTTCAGCAAGTAATTATTTCATTTTTTTAATTATTTATAGTAGACAATTAAGGTAGGCTCTTTATTTGATTTAAGAGACTTACCATGTTTTATCAAGACAACGACACCATACTAAGGGGAAGCTATAGTATCATTTAATTTGAAATTTAATATTTAACAATAAAAAATCAATGTCCGATTGAGCAACCCTCCCCCCCCTCCACCCACAAAAATGTATCAATAACTTTGAAATCATTAATCTATTTATAAAAGTAGTAAAATTAGATGGATGTTTACAACAATATCAAAGAGGCAAAAAAAGAAGAAAATCATTCAAAGAACTGCTAAGAAAAACAATCCATGACAAACAACATTTGCAAGTGCACCCATCCTCTGAATTAAGAGATGAAAAATATATGACTACAATCAAATCATCATCATGTATGGCTACAATCAATTGATAATATAATCAGGACTCCAAAACCCATCTAATAGAGGAAACAGGAAATAAAGGAGAATAATGGATCCATCCCAAGTATAGAAGTCACCTCCAAGTTAAGTGGCAACGCTTCTTTTGGTTGATCATGGTTATATATTTTAAGTCTAAGCTCCCCACAGTGCACGTAAACTGGCTATAATTTATCTTTAGGAAAAAGGTAGGGAAATTTGTACATAACCTAATGGTATGTCTGAATTATGTGAATTGGGAGATAGAAATAGGAAATGTAGGTTGAAATTATAATTTTGGGCATGTTGATGTGTCAAATTCAAGTCAATTAGAATACTCATAGATTTTTAGTTCATTCATTTAGTGGTAATTTGAATTTTTTTTTTATTCCATGTCTTTATTGAGTAGTTCATTCATTTAATGGTATGTCTGAATTATGTGAATTGGGAGATAGAAATAGGAAATGTAGGTTGAAATTATAATTTTGGGCATGTTGATGTGTCAAATTCAAGTCAATTAGAATACTCATAGATTTTTAGTTCATTCATTTAGTGGTAATTTGAATTTTTTTTTTATTCCATGTCTTTATTGAGTAGTAAGATTAATAATGTATTAATAATTATGAAATCAGAAATAATAATAAGTATATTATTATTACTATTATTTATAAATAATATATTCTTATTATGTGTATATTTATTTTGAAGTTAGTAATATTAAATTATTATTATTATTATTATTATGACGACGACGACGACGATGATGATGATGATGATGAAGTAATTAATTTGTTATAATTATGATTTATAATTAATTCCTGAAATAATAATTGATTTTATAATTCTTTTAGTTTAACAATAATGAATAATTGAAAGTATTATAATTTAGCTTTCACTAAATGAAATATTTATTGGATAATAATGATAGTATTAATTATAATAATAGTATTAAATATAATTATTTATAATAATAATAATATAAATAATTAACACAAATTATATATTTATAAAATAATTAATATGAATTAATATAAATATAAAATGATTATATCCCAATTAATAATTAACATTATGAAAATAATTATTAATTATCATTAATTAATTAACATTCTGAAGCAATAATTATCGTTATTATAATTAAGGTATTAATTATCAGTAATTAATTATAATCAGTAATTAACTTTTATTAGAACTCATTATTATTAGTAATAATTAATTATAATTATTTTAATTAATATAATTATTAATTATAATTACTAATAATAATATTATTATTATAATTATTTATTTCAAATAAATGTATGAATTATAATTGCTAATAATAATTCTAATATAAATAATTAACATTAAATATTTACTTTCAAAATAATTAATATGAGTTAATATAAATATAAAATGATTATTTCTGAATTGTTAATTACCATTATGAAAATCGTTATTAATTATCATTAATTAATTACCATTCCGAATTAATAATGAGAAATATTATCAGTAATTAAGTATTAGTAGTAATTATTATCAGTAATTAATTATTATTAGTAATTAATTATTTAGAATTCATTAATTATTATTACTACCCTCTCTTTCAAAAAGTTGACTCATAATTATCGTTATCATCAATACAACAACTTGATAAATACATAATTTAATAAAAGTAGGTAAATATCATTAATTCATTTTTTTATCTTTTGGAAAACTGAATAAGAGAAAAATAAAATGGTTAGCAATGCAAATGAAAAATTATTTGGATTTTTGCAAAAAAATCAATCATTCAAAAATAAGGTCATTAACCAAAGAGTAATTAAAATTATTCAGTAAAAAATAATTTTAAGAAATTAAAATTAATAATTAATTATCTGTCCGAATTAAAATGGGTAATTTCAGCAAATAATTTTAAGTAATTAAGTTTTGCTATTAACATTTTTTAATTATAATCAGTATTAGTAATATATTAATAATATATTAATAATTATGAATTCAGTAATAATAATAAGTATAATATTATTATTATTATTATTATTAACTAATATATATTCTTATTATGTGTGTATTGATTTTGAAATCAGTAAAATTAAAGTATTATTATTATTACGACTACTATTACTATCTATTACTATTATTTTATTTTTATTTTTATTAATTAATTAATTTGTTATAGTTACGATTTTTAGTTAATTCATAAAATAATATTTTCTTTCATAATTCTTTAAGTTTAACAATATTGAATAATTGAAAGTTTTATAATTTAGCTTTCACTAAATGAAATATTTATTGGAGAATAATAATAGTATTAATTATAAATACTACTACTACTACTATTACTACTACTAATAATAATAATAATAATAAGAAGAAGAAGAAGAATAACAATAACAATAAGTATAACAATAATAATGTAAATAAGTAACACTAATTATATATTTATAAAATAATTAATATAAATTAATATAAATATAAAATGATTATTTCCAAATTATTTATTACCATTATGAAATTTTTTTTAATTATCATTTTGAATTAATAATGAGTAATATTGTCATTAATTTATTAGCAATAATTAATTATTATTAGTAATTAAGTATTAGCAGTAATTATTAAAAGAAATTATTTTTTTCATATTAATAATGGGCAATATTATCAGTAATAAATTATTAGTAATTAATTATTATCAGTAATTAAGTAATAGCAGTAATTATAATAAGATATTATTTTCAATAATTAATTATTATCAGTGAGTAACAATTATTAGTAATTAATATCTTGAATTAATTAATTAGGAGTAGTTAATAGTAATTAACAGTAATTATTATTAGTAATCAATAGTTGGAGTTAATTAATTAGAAGTAGTTAACGGTAAATATTATTAATAATCAAGAGCTGGAATTAATTAATTAGTTTAGTAGTTAACAGTAATTAATAGCATGTCGAATTAATAACTAACTATTTAATGAAACTGGATTGATTAGAAATGCATTAATCGCAGTTTCCTTTTTTTTTAGGAACGGATTGAAAGTGGGAGCTTCCCACTTCTCACAACTCTGCATGGTGGTGGGTTGTTCTTGAATTACCACTAATCAGAAGTTGACACGTGTCTATTTTGTTTAAATCATTAGAAGGACAGATGTCTAAATGTAGGTGGGCTACATGTCTAACTATAGGGGGCTTTGGCCTGAAATCATTCCTTTAATATATATATATATATATTAGATTTTTACACTTGCAACGCTTACAAGCGGAGTGAATAAAAAAGGATCTTTTTTATAAAAAATTAATAAAGTTTGATAAATGGGCAAAATCAGATATGTTTTGGAAAACTTTTGATTAGTACTCTTGTAATTGGGCCAATTATCACTTTGGTCCTCAAATTTTAAAATGCAAAAATTCAATATTCGAATTTTTAAATATGATAATCTAGTAACAGTTGTTAATTAGGTGTTACCATAAATGACATTTGAAAAAGACACAAATGCTCTTCAAGTATCATTTAATTTTCTTTATCAACCATCTAAATGTTGACAAAAAATTAACAGTCCAAAATCCTTGCCTCTTCCATTCAAGAAAGTTGGAGTCACATTTGAGTACACATTCTTGTGACCCCGACTTTCTTGAATAGAGGAGGCAAGGATTTAGGACTGTTAATTTTTTGTCAATGTTTAGATGGTTGATAAAGAAAATTAGATGACACTCGAAGGGCATTTGTGTTTTTTTCAAATATCACTAAACGGCTGGTTAACAACTAGTTAACAACAAGTATATGATTGTCACGTTTTGAAAATTCAAGTATTGAATCGTTGCATTTTAAAGTTCGGGAACCAAAATGGCACTAAACCCAAATTACAGGGTACTAATAGGAAATTGTCCCTACAAAAAATCGTAAAAATAGTGAATAGGACAAAAAGTTAATCTTCCTGAACCAAATTGTCCTCCCTCCTTCCAACGCCATTGTTCATTGAATGTGTATCTATGATTTCACAAATCTAAGTTGTGGGTCATGAACCACAATGCAA